ATGTTTTTAAAAGAAATTTTAATATTTATTTATTTATTTATTTATTTATTATGTATAGAGCATTCAGCCTTGGATGCCAGAAGAGGGCACCAGATCTCATTATAGATGGTTTTGAGCCAACATATGGTTATTGGAAATTGAACAGGACCCCTGGAAGAGCAGTCAATGCTCTTAACCTCTGAGCCATCTCTCCAGCCCAAATAGGTATTTTTAAAAAATAAATGGAGGCTAGAGAGGGGGCTTAAGGTTTTTTATTTTATTTATTTTTATTTTATTATTATTGTTATTATTATTATTTTGGTATTTTTGAGACAGGGTTTCTCTGTGGCTTTGGAGGCTATACTGGAACTAGCTCTTGTAGACTAGTATGGTCTCGAACTCACAGAGATCTGCCTGCCTCTGCCTCTGCCTCCTGAGTGCTTGGACTAAAGGCGTGCGCCACCACAGCCCGGCTTAAGGTTTTTTTTATGTGTATTTCTGGCTTGCCCTATGTATATATTTGCACCACATGTATGCAGTGCCCACAGAGAGCAATAGAGGACATTGGAACCCCTGGAATTGAAGTCACAGGTGGTTGTAAATCCTCATGTGGGTGCTGGAAACAGGACCAGGGTCCTCTGCAAGAGCAATAAGTGCTCTTAGCCACTGAGTCACTCTAGCCTCAAAGAACTTTTTTTGGGGGGGGGTAAGTGAGACATGGTTTCTCTGTGTAACTTTTCTGGCTGTCCTGGAACTTTGTAAACCAGGCTGGCCTTGAACTCACAGACACCTGCCTGCCTCTGTCTCCCAAGTACTGGGATTAAAGACATGTGTCACCACTGCCTAGCATAAGTAACTCTTCAAAAAGAAAAACAAGCCAGGCGTTGGTGGCGCACGCCTTTAATCCCAGCACTTGGGAGGCAGAGGCAGGCGGATCTTTGTGAGTTCGAGGCCAGCCTGGTCTACAAGAGCTAGTTCCAGGACAGCCTCCAAAGCCACAGAAGAAACCCTGTCTCGGAAAAAAAAAAAAAAAGAAAAAAGAAAAACAAAGCATGTTAGCCTGGCCAAGTGGTGCATGCTTTTAATCTCAACACTCAGAAAGCAGAAGTAGGTGGTCACTGTGAATCCAAAGTCATCCTGGTCTAACATAGGAAGTTGCAGGCCAGCCAGGGATAGATACATTGTAAGACCCTGTCTCAAAAAAAGGAACAAACACAAACAAATCACACAAAATGCCTGGAGTTCAGGATTCCAAGGTTATCCTCTGAGGTCATAGTTCATATTATGCCTTGACTGTACAAGACCTTGTCTTAAAGAAATCTACAGGATGGGACTAAAACTGGAATGTAAAGAAGGAAGGGAGGCATTACAATTAAGTACTTGATTAAATTTTTGTTTTGTTTTGAAACGGGGTGAGATCTTCCTGTCTCAGCCTCCACGGTGCTTTTGACAATGGTGATTAGTCAACTTTATTGTCAAGCTGATACACAGTGAACTTGAGAATCTAGCCTCATGTACATAAGACCCCATCTCAAAATAAATAAATAAACATTCAAAGTTATGTTAAAGCTTAGACCACATGTCCCAGAGCTTCCCATCTCACTGAAGAACATAAGAGCAATAACGGGATTCTATTTCTTTCATCCTCAAGTTTCTGCCTCTGCCTCCTCTTTCTATCTAAAAGATTCTTCCAGGGGAAGTTCCCAGGTCAGAAGACGAAAACATCCAGAAGGTGCCTGCAAATACACATCACCTGAGATAAGGCAGATGGTTTGCCTCTGTTATGTTGCTTTATTTCATTGAGACAGGATCTCACTGTGGCTGTCTTCAACTCACTGGGATCTTCCCTCTTCTGTGTCCTGACTCCGGTGCCACCATTTCAGACTTGCCTCTAGTCTTGTAGTCACAAATGTTAAAGGATATGGGAGTCACCTGAGATTTTTTTCTTTTGATTTTTAATAAATTTGCTAGTGGAGCTGAAGAAAAGATAGCTTAGCACATAAGATCGTGGTACTCTTCCAGAGGATCATAGTTCTGTTTGGAGAACTCACATCAGGTAGCTTACAACCACCAGTAACTCCAGCTCCAACACATAAAATAAAAACAGATGAATCTTTAAAAACTCTGCCGTTGGGCTGGAGAGATGGCTCAGCGGTTAAGAGCACTGACTGTTCTTCCAGAGGTCCTGAGTTCAATTCCTGGCAACCACATGGTGGCTCACAACCACCTTGAATGAGATCCGGTACCCTCTGCTGGCATGCAGACAAAAGGCTGTATGCACAATAAATAAAAATAAAAAACTGTATGCATAGTAAATAAATAATTAAAAAAAAAACTCTGCCGTCTAGCCGGGCGATGGTGGTGCATGCTTTTAGTCCCAGCACTTGGGAGGCAGAGGCAGGCAGATCTCTGTGAGTTCGAGACTGGCCTGGTCCACAAGAGCTAGTTCCAAGACAGCCTCCAAAGCCACAGAGAAACCGTGTCTGGAAAAAACAAAACAAAACAAAAAAACAAAAACAAAAAACAAACAAACAAAAAAAAAACTCTGGAGGCAGAGATAGGCAGATTTCTGTGACTTCTAGGTCAGTTTCATGTACGTATTCATTTCCAGAACAGCTAAGGGTACATAAAGAGAGCATGTATAAAAAAAAAGCAACATTTACTTTATTATTTTATATGCGTGTGGATGTATTGTTTGTATACAGATAAGAGGCAGGATCTCTTGAAACTGGAGTTAGTTAGCCTCCATATGGGTGCTAGGAATCGAACCTGAGTCCTCTTCTAGAGTATTAAGAACTCTTAACCACTGTGCTATCTCTCCAGTCCCTGAATTAGAAAAAAAATGCAGATTCTAGGCTCTCAGAATTATAGTTCCAGGGAATCCTCAGATAACTCTGCTCACACCTTTACTTTTTTTTTTTTTAATATGTAGCCCAAGGTGACTTCAAACCACGTAGCCCAGGCCGACGTTAAACTCCGAAGTGCTAGGGTTACATGCATGCATCTTGTTTTAAGCGACCAAATTCTAACCTTTTCCTATTAGCCAGGCTAATCCTTGACAAATCAATTCTCTATCATCTGGTAAGTCACATAACTAGCACCTTTCTGGGAGACAGGGAATCAGGCCGACTTAAAGAAAAAAAATGGGATTGGCACTGTCAGATGACAGAATCGTGCTGAGACAAACCGCGGGCAGTTTTTATTTGAACCTCCATTACCACCCAATCCTAACCCCCAAAACATCATTCCTGCCTGCAGCTTTCAGCATCTTTGGATGAAGTCGTCCTCCCCTCATCCTCCCCCCCACCTCCCCAGAGCGTCTTCATCCTCGAGTTAGGTTATCTGCTAGATGTCTGAGCCGACCTTAAATAAAGCTACAGCGCCATTCTGCCATTCTGCCACTCTGCCCTGGCTAGGCCTCGTTCAAGTACGGCCCTCCTCTTATACACTGCTAACTTAACATTTTAAAAAATGGTTTTTAAAATTTGCGAGTTCCGAGGAGGCCAAAGTCCAGGCCTAGCACGCTCCCCCTCTAACTTCACTAGGGGGCGCGACGGCCCCGGCGATGCGGCGACTGTGGCCCGGTGGCACCACCCCCCAGGGCTCCGGGCGTTCTGCCGTAGGTTACCACCGCTCCTCCTACGACCTGAGCGGGAAAACCCGGGCAGCGCTCAAGCTGCGGCCAGAGACTTCTAAGAGGCCCCACACACAGTTTGGGAGGCATCGCCGGGGTCTGAGCTCGCCCTCCTGAGCCGGGCGCCCCGGGCCGGTAACCAGGCGCACATGGCCCGCCCGGCCCTGTTTGTCCTGGCAGCGCGCCGCCGCTATTTGAGGCGGTTTTTATCTCCCAGAAACCAGCAAAACCCCAAGCCGAGTCTAGGAAGATGAAAGGGGCCGAGGGGCCTGGGAGGGGAGGACTGCGAGGCTGCGGCGAGCGGGAGCTGGCACCGGACAGGCGGAGCCCGGGAGGCGACATGGCCAGCCCCTGGGGGGTCCTGTGCGCCACGGGGCCCGGAGTCCGCTCACGCCCTCCGCCTCCGGTGTGCGCCCGGGCGCCCCCACGTCCTGCCCAGTCTCCCAATTCTCCTTCGACACAGTCCCGAGCCCACTCGACAAATGCTCGGAACTCGGATTTCTTCAAAGTGCCGTGCGCCGGGCCAGAGGGCTGGGGATCTTGCACCTGGGCAAGGGCACGGGTATCACGGGGTGGGGTCGCCTTCGGGTGTGGCTCTTCCACTCCAGCGGCGGGGTGGACAGTGGTCCGGCCGCCGCTACCGGGGAAAACGCCCTAAGCACGCCCCCAGCCCAGCGGGGGAGCCCTCGGGGCGGGGGCGCACAAAGCCCTATTGTGGCCTGGGGACGGCCGCCACAGAGTGGCTTTTGTTTCTCCGAGGCAGGCACGACTGATTGCAGGCCCCGGGCAGGGGGCGGGTTACGTGCCAGGCGGGTCAACCAGTCCGGAGTCTCACCACCGACGCGCTGGGGCTGCTGAGAGCTAATCCATACTGTGAGCACAGTTGATGCTCCGGCCTAGCCACTGCCCAGAACAAGGTCGATGGTACCCACTGAGAAAGAGCCCTGGAAGAAGACTCGGCCTTCCCGACTCTTCAGATAGCACCAGGCGACTTTTTTTTTTTTTTTTTTTTTTTTTTGGTTTTTCGAGATAGGGTTTCTCTGTGTAGCTTTGGAGCCTGTACTCATAGACTTGCTTTGTAGACCAGGCTGGCCTCGAAATCACAGAGATCAGCCTGCCTCTGTCTCCCGAGTGCTGGGATTAAAGGAAGGCCTGTGCCACCAACGCCCGGCTCCAAGTTGTCCTTTTTTCTTTTTCTTTCTTTCTTTCTTTCTTTCTTTCTTTCTTTCTTTCTTTCTTTCTTTCTTTCTTTCTTTCTTTTTTTTAGCTTTCGGTATGAAACACAACCCAGCAGTATTAAATATCTCCGACAGGAAGTCCCTGCTTTGCTAAGGAAATGTCCCGCGGCCCATCCTTCCTTCCTCTTCCCTTTTCTAATCAGACACAATTTCAAATGGAACTTTTATTTATTAAATTAAAAAAAGAGAGAAAGATTCCACAAGGGGATGATCCCTTCAACGATGCTATGCTCTTCTCAGACTCCACTGGCTTTTATCTGGGGGCCTGGAAGGCGCAGAGGATGAAACAGGAAGATCCAACAGTCTCAGGAAAGGCGTTCAAAGGCACGAAGCGGCTTTTAAAAGTCACTGGAACGGAGTTTCCACTCCTACATTGGGGGCCTGTGGATGTATCCCCAAATTCGTTTAGGGACCTCCGTCCTGCTATAAATTCTTTCTCATGGCTTCTAGGCACCAGGCCTTGCACATAGTAGGCATTGAATAAATACTTGATGTACTTGGATTTGATCCCAGAGAAAGCCTTCCCCACCTATTTTTCCGGAGGGGCACATCCAAACCAAAGTCCTCCTGTTAGGTGGACTTTCCCCAAAAGGACATGTTTCAGATGGCAGCCGCAAATTCTCCGTAACCATGACAACAGGGGATTAACCTGGTGTGAGGAGAGGGTCAGTGGCACCTGCTTTGAGGTCGAGAGAGCTGGGGTACAGTCCAGTCTTTCCCTCCGTAGGACTTGAAGTTTCACAGCTTCTGGCTGGGGCTGGGGATCTTAGTGACCTAACTGAGAGACACAGCTAAACTCTAACAACTCCTTTTTAAAACTGCACTGAGAGCCGGGGGTGGTGGTCCACGCTTTTAATCCCAACACTCCCGAGGCAGAGGCAGGTGGATCTCTGTGAGTTCGAGGTCAGTCTGGACAGCCTCCAAAGCTACAGAGAAACCCTGTCTCTAAAAACAAAATAAAAAACAAAACATAAAAAGAACTCCCCTGAAAAAGAAACCCATTGAGACCTCAATGATAGAGATCTAAGAACAAGATCTCCACGACTGTTTTGTCTATACAAAGATACATTTGATTAGATTTCCTTAGTTAAAAAAAAAAAAAAAAAGAGCCGGACGTTGGTGGCGCACACCTTTAATCCCAGCACTCGGGAGGCAGAGGCAGGCGGATCTCTGTGAGTTCAAGACCAGCCTGGTCTACCAAGCGAGTTCCAGGACAGCCTCCAAAACAATACAGAGAAACCCTGTCTCGAAAAACAAAAAACAAACAAACAAACAAAAAAAAGATCTCCTTCCTTCTCCAGCTCACTCTACCTGACCCGTCATCATAAGTTAGATAAATAGAATTATTATTATTACTATTCTTTACTCCCGGCACAGAGGGGTTAAGTACTCAAGCTGAGGGCAGCCTCCCTGACCCTGGGGTCACCCCATCTTTGGGATCAGATCCCCGCTGATCTGCCCCCTTCTTGGCACTCTGCTCCCAGCCAGGTTACTAGTACCAATCTCCTTAACGCTGCTTCCTAATGAAGAACCACCAGGGGGCAATAAATTATCATCTTCATCATCATCATCATTGTGTTCGTTGCTGAGTTTTTTGTTTTTTGTTTTTGTTTTTTAAAGGTTCAAAGGAACAGAGAGCACAAGGTAAATCTGGAACACAGCCTGAAGCTGCAGGGAAAGTGGCAAATAGGGTCGGGAAGCAGAAAGACTCGATCGATGGCTAAGAGTTGAAACCCAAATGGAAGGAAAGTAAGCGAGGCTGTGAACAGGAGCAGGGAGGAAAAAAATTAGGAAGCCAGAGCACAGGAAGTGGGCACAGGCAAGGGCTTGCGAGGAGTTTGGCTAAGACTTGTGGCAAAGGGAGGAGAGCTAAGGAGATAGCCAGGCTAGGAATGTCTAGGGGAAGGCAGAGAGAACCCCAAAGTATAACATGCATGGAAAAGAATGAGGAGCAAGCAGTGGCCCACCACACCAAGAGAGCCTGGGAAGAGGACCCTGAAGCTGGAGACCTTCCTCTACCCAGCTCAGATCTCTAGCAGATTGCTCTGCTCCGGGCTGCCTCCAGGGGCTTTCTCTGGGGGTGCAGGCGAGGTGGAAGATCGGGGAGGCTGACTGGCTTCTTCTTCCCCGACGCTGCGGCTCTCCCCCAGCTCCTTAGGGCCACTTGGGGGCGGCCCCGGGCCTGGCTCCCCGTGGGTGCGCTGGTGTTTGCTCAAGTGGTCGCTTCTGGTAAAGCGCTTGGAGCAGAGCAGGCAGGTGAACTTCTTCTCCCGGGTGTGAGTGCGCACATGGCGCTCCAGCTCGTCAGAGCGGGTGAACCTCTTGCCACAGAAAAGCCAGTTGCAGACGAAAGGCCTCTCGCCAGTGTGCCAGCGCAAGTGGGCTTTCAGATGTGAAGCCTTGCCGTACACTTTGCCGCAACCAGGGATGTGGCAGCTATGAATGGGCTTCTTCCGCAGCCCAGCCGCTGCTGCCCCCAGCCGCTCTAGCTCCTGACAATTGGGGCAGTCGCAAGTAGAACGCCCGGCCCCACTGCCGGCATATCCACCACTGCCCCCAGTGCCTGCACCCCGAGGGGGTTTGCCTGCACCACTCCCTTCCAGTTGGCCACTATTGCCAACTGCCTTGGGCTTATAGACATCTTGGGGTAGAACATGCTGGGGCCCTGGCTGCAGGAGGTGGGGCGCTGGATAGGGAGCTGGATTAAGGGGGGCAAAGTCAGATGGGTAAGTAGGCAGCTGGGGGTTCAGTGGAGGCTGGGAAGGGCCTGTGGACAGTGTCCCTTGCAGCCCATCACCCTGGCCCTGCCCACCACCTAGCCAGTTGCCCCCAGGGTGCATGTCCCACCAAGGAGTAGGTGTGTTGCCTGGACCTGCTGAGATGCCTGCATGAATGCCTGCCTTGTACCAGGAGCCATAGGGATGTGCCATGTCCAGAGAGGTGTAGACACTAGGCAGGCAGTCAGAGGAGCCGTGCCCCTTGGGCACCAGTAGCCCAGGGTCTTGGGCCCCTGTGGGCCCAGGAAATGAGTGAGGAAAGGGTGGATAGTCATTGGCATAGCCAGAGGCTGGGGCTGGAGGACTGCCTGCAGGTGAGAGGAGTCCATTGGTGCTTGAGAACGGAGCTGGGTAAGCATCCCCCATGGTTTTGGGGGCTGAAAGGTCGGAATATGGCTTCTTTGTGGTTCCTTTTCCCAGCGACGTTGAGTCCCGCAGAGGGCTGGAGCCACCAAATTTACTGCAAGCCGCTGTCAGCATGGCCAGGGGACTGGAGCCATAGTGAGCTTCTTCCTGTAGACAGAGGGAGATGACGGCTTAGGAGCAAAGGAGAGGAGAGAGGGGAGGGCATAGCTACGGGACTGAGACCTACAGACACAGAGAAGAGAGTGCAGCGTTAGGGAAAGGTTAGAGAGAAAGGGAACTAGAGGGAAGAGTGGTGTGCCAGTGAGGTCCTGACCAGGGCAGAGCTAAGATTAAGTCGTGAAGGGACGGAGAGGCCCAAACCTGATACTCTAGTCCACTGTGGAGTCTGAGGGAGAGCTGGCTGAGGTGAGAGTTAGGGTTCTGATTTAGGATAGTGGATTTGAAGCAGACAGGAGTCAAGCCATGGCCAGGGACTCATGGCCTCAAAGAGAAGCCTGGCCTGAATGCCACAGTTCACACCATAATCCTCGCACTTAGGAGGTGGAGGCGGGAAAAATCAGAGGCTCCAGTTATCAGCTACATAGCAATTCCAGGCCAGAATAGCTACATAGCTAGACCCTGTCAAAGCAGCAGACAGGTCAGGTATGGTGGCACATACCTTTAGACCTGAACTCAGTAAACAGAGGCAGGAGGATCTCTGTGAGTTCCAGGCTACCCTGGTCTACATAGTAAGTTCCAGAACAGCCAAGGATATGTAGAGAGACCTTGTCTCAAAAAACCAAAACAAACAAAAAAGCCTAGCTCCTCAGGATGCTGAGGCAGGAGGATCACTTGAGCCCAGGAGTCTTTGAGATGGGCTTGGTCAGCACAGAAAGGACACCTTCTTCCATACCTTCTCCACAGAGAACAGTGCGGGGTACAGACAAGCAACAGTCCTGGGGACCATAGTTGACCCCAATCCAGATTTTCCTAACATCACCTCAATTCCATTTCCTGTTTCTGCTTCAGCCCCTGACTAAAGAGTCACTGCCTCATCTCCCTGAAGTCAAGTCCACGTGGCTGCACCAGGAAGGAATCTCTTGGCATGGACCTTGGAGCTGGGAAGCTAGGGGAAGGGACAGCAGAGACACTGGGACATTGAGAGGGAATAGGGCTGCAGCCAAGCTTAGACTGTGGTGAAGCAAGAGTATCTTTCAAGAGGGCATTGGTAATGGAAGAGTCCAAAGTCCTCAAGACTCTCCAAGACAGGGAGCTGGTTAGAACACTGGGTCACAGCCTTACTCCTGCAAGTCTCAGTGTCCCCCTAACGTGTGGCATATGGGGCTGGTCTGCATCCCCATTCAAGTGAGTGAAAAAAGACATGCAAGTGGGCTGAGGGAGGGTTTTTAAAAACACAGAGAGGTACCCAGATGGTGGTGGTCACAAGCCTTTAATCCCAGCATTCCGGAGGCAGAGGCAGGCGGATCTCTGAGTTTGAGCCTGGCCTACAGAACAAGTTCCAAGATAGCCAAAGCTACACAGAGAAATCCTTTCTTGAAAAAAAAAACAACAAAAAACAGAGGTATCTAGTTAGTGCCTATCAATGTGCTATGACTGATCTGACCACCCTTATGACCATCATTACTCAGAAGCTCCCAGCACCCCTCCTTCGGTCAGATTCCTCTTTGGGAAGAAATGCAATCCACCATCCTCGACTAATATGTACAAGGGCCTGTATTCAACCAAATTACCTTACATAAAAGAGAGAAAATAAAAGACATCCTTCAAAAGCTTGACCATGCAGGGCCAGTGAGATGGCTCAATGGGTAAAAACATTTGACCTAAATTCAATGCCCAGAACCCACATGGTACAAAGAGACAGCTTCCATAAATTGTCCTCTGACTTCCACTGATGCTATGACATAACATTCACATAAATACACCCTATATATCTCCCCCCTTATGTGTGTGTGTATCAACCATTTTTTAAAGAGTTAGTCATTGGACTGGGCAGTGGTGGCACACACCTTTAATCCTAACACTCGGGAGGCAAAGACAGGTGGATCTCTGTGAGTTCCAGGCCAGCCTGGTCTACTAAGCAAGTTCCAGGACAGGCTCCAAAGCTACAGAGAAACCTTGTCTCGAAAAAATAAAAAAACAAACAAAAAAGCTAGTCATGCTGGGCGGTGGTGGCACAAGCCTCTAATCCCAGCACTCGGGAGGCAGAGGCAGGCAGATCTCTGTGAGTTCGAGGCCGGGTTGGTCCGACAGCCTCCAAAACAATACAGAGAAACTCTGTCTTGTAAAACCAAAAAAAAAAAAAAAAAAAAAAAGAGCTAGTCATTGGGACCAGAGGGATGGCTTGGCAGTTAAAAGTCCTATTGCTCTTCCAGAGAATTGGGGTTAGCTTCCCAGCATCCACATGGCAGTTCTAACACCCTCTTCTAGCTCCAGGAGGCACCAGGAATACACATGGTGCACATACATCCATGCAGGCAAAACACCTATACAGATAAAATAGAAATAAAAATGTACTAGTTGTGGTGGCAGGTACCTTTAAACACAGCACTCAGGAGGCAAAGGCAGGCAGACCTCTGAGTTAAAGTCCAGCCTGGTCTACAGAGTGAGTTCCAGGACAGGACAACAAGACCTACAGAGAAACCATCTCAGAAAAAAAAAAAAAGAAAGAAAGAAAGAAAGAGAGAGAGAGAGAGAGAGAGACAGACAGACAGAGACAAAGACAGAGACAGAGACAGAGAAAGAAAGACAGGAAGGAAGGAAAGAAGGAAGGAAGGAAGGGGAAGAAAGAAAGGAAGGAAGAAAGAGAGAAGGGAAGGAAGGAAGGAAGGAAATCGGGGAGAGAGTCAAATGTCTAATTGTCTGGTGTCTTCCTAACAAAACTTACAAAGGAAGGCAAGAGTCCAGGGTTCTCAGCCCGTCCTAGTGACTCCTAGTTCAATATGTATGTGTGTGAGATGTGTTGCCAAATCCTATCGGTGAGGCTAATGTGTCAAGGTCTCAGTGAAGTCATTGGCAATCATAATTCCTGTTCTGTACCCCTGCCCAACTATCCATCTCCTTCTGAGGTCCTGTCAATCCATGGGCTTCCTAACATGAGCGTCAAAAGCCACCCAAATAAACTTTTGTGTATTGTTCAACAGTAAGCCCCTGGGCTTTCCCAGTAAGAGTTTCCCTGAAGCCTCTAATGGCCCAAGCAGAGAGGAGGTTGCTGGTGGGGCAGGAGTGAACTCTTAGCATGAAGGAGAGGTGACAACGTGGGAGCTCAAGGACACACAGAGATACTGAAATGTGAGCCTCAAAGGACACTGAGCCAAGCAAAGCTCCATAGGGACACGGAAGGGGGAGGGGACCGTAAAGGGGGATGTTTGCATTAAGAGACAGAAATGGACAGGAAAGTTAAAAAACAAAAGGGTGGTGGATCTAGTGAGGCAGAATAAACAAAGGAGAGCTGGTAAGAGATTCTGGGCCGGGAAAGCTAAGGAAAACACAGGAAAAGACAGGAGAAGAAAGACAGAGGAGGAGCAAGGCATTCATGTCCCACCTAAGAGAAACCCACCATAGCGATGGGTCACAGACAACCCAAGTCCACGCCATTCCTCCTTCCTTCTCCCCCTTAGCTGCTGCCCCCTTCCCCCTCGGCCCAGCACGGCCCTGCTCGGCTCCTGCTCCGGTGGCTTCCCTGCGGTCGGTTTATTTTTAAAAACGCCGACGCGGTCCCCCGCCTGCCCGGCCCTCACACTGTGGCCACAAGGGCCTCAGCCAAGCCCAGGGACCCCACCCAGCTGTGGGGAGGTAGGAGGGGGAAAATAAGACAGCCAACCCTAGGCTGACATGAGACCCCGACTTTGGGGAGTAAGGGCCAGCGGGGCCCCTGGAGGCCAGAAAGAAAAAGCAAAGTACTGGACTGCTCTGGGGGCCAAGCGCTGGGGGTTAAGTTCCTTCACATCACAGCTTTTCTGGCTGATTGCTCTGTGTGAGAGCTGAGAAAAGGTTTCAAGGTTCTGGGTGTGTGCTCCTATATCTGGTCATATGTACCTTGTAGAAACTAAGACACCCATTTTCCAGTTCCCCTGTTCCCCACACCTGCCCCAGCACCCTTTAAAATAAAAGGCTCGGCCAGGTGTGGTGGCTCAGGTCCTTAATCCCAGCTCTCAGAAACAGGCAAGTCTCTATGAGTTTGAGTCTGACTGAGGCCAGCCTGGTAGTGAGTTCTAGGACAGGCTACATAGTGAGACCTGTCTCAAAAAGCGAAAATAATAAAGAAAATAAGAGGCTTAAAAAATACCGAACGAGCCAACGTTGATGGCACACGCCTTTAATTCTAGCACTCGGGAGGCAGAGGCAGGCGGATCTCTGTGAATACAAGGCCAGCCTGGTCTACAGAGCAAGCTTCAGGGATAGCCTCCAAAAAAATACAGAGAAACCCTGTCTCAAAATACCAATAAATAAATAAATAAATAAATAAATACTGAACGAGGAGCCTCTAACCCAAGATCATGCTAGGCGCTATCTCAACTTTTGCTCTGATGTCAAGTGAACCAAGGGGACCCTTCTTTCAAGTAACACACAGTGGAAATGCTTACCATACATCTGACAGTTGAAACTAGCTACTACGTAGGCTGAGCTCCCAAGGTCCCTGTCCTAGTTCCTAGCTTTCTCCCAAGTTTCTTAATTCACTCAGCTTTATAATTCTTAAAAATTTCCTTGCCAGGCAGTGGTAGAGTTCCTCTTTAATCCCAGAACTTGGGAGGCAAAAGCAGGAGGGTCTCTGAGTTCAAGGGCAGCCTGACCTACAGAGAGTTCCAGGGCAGCCAGAGCTACCCAGAAAAATACTGTCTCGAAAAACAAACCAAAAAACATTTTTTCTTTTATTATGAGTATTTTATTTTTATCTTTGTCATCCTAGGAATTCAACCTAAGGTCTCTCTCATCCCTGCTGAGCAAGCACCCCAGCACTGAGCTATATTCTCTAGCATTGGCCTCCCAACTCCATGCCTAGCTGGTGCCCTCTCCTCCCCTCCCCAGCTCCCCTCTCAGTTCTGCTAAGCTGCCTCCCTCTCTGAATCCCAATCCTCTGACTGCTGGAGAAGCTACTCATACCAGACTGGGGGATTCCCAGGGCCATACAGAAGAGGAAAAACAAAACAAAGCAAAACCTAGGACCCTAAAAACTAGATAAAAGAAATGGAGAGACTGCGTCATGTGGTGGTGCATGCCTTTAATCCCAGCACTCTGGAGGCAGAGGCAGGCAGACCTCTGAGAGTTCGAGGCCAGCCTGGTCTACATAGTAACTGCCAGGACTATGTAGAGAGACCCTGTCTCAAAAAAAAAAAAAAAAAAGAGAGAGAGAGAGACAGGCTGGTGCGTCCTTGGGTTAGGCATGCTCTGTTCATAGGGAGTTGGGTCTAGCATCCGTGACACATTCTTATTGCTAAATGCTTCCCCAAGTCTGTGTCTTTCCAGAAAGTCTCTGGCCTGCCCCTCCCCCAGGCGCTAGTGCCACGCTGGCAAGGCTGGCATGATGTGCATATCCATGACACTGTCCCTGCCCTGGGCAGATCAAGGACTTATATACACCTTTTCCCTCTTGCTTCCTCAATCCAGTGTTTCAATGATGACTCAACAACATATGTGTCCCTAGTCATACATATACATAATAATAAATAAATAAATTTAGACTCTATTGGGGAAAAGGCCATAACAATCAGTACACAGTGCAGCTAAGAGTAGGTCTCTGTATTTGGGATTCCTATCTGCTTATAGAGTGTGTCCACCCTACTGACTAGCAAGCCATTACCTCAAACTCAGTCCCAAAGCCATTATCTATAACCTTATGGACACCATTCCTCATTTGGATTAAGTACTAAAATAATCCATTTTATGAGTATACATGCACTCTTGCATCTACACACACAAACACATACCTCACAAAATCAGCAATATAGCCAACTCTAACACAGGCCAGTGAACACACAAGTGTCACACATGCGCGCGTGCGTGCGCGCACACACACACACACACACACACCTGCCAACAGGTTTCTGGTGAGTCAGTCACCAAAGACTCATCACTCCTGTGCCATAAGTTAGAGCATCCAGAACAGATTTTGTTTGTTTGCTTTGTTTTTGAGACAGGGTCCCTCTATGTAACTCTGGCTGTCCTCAAACTCTCTATGTGGATCAGACTGGCCTCATACTCACCTGCTCCTATCTCCCGAGTATTGGGATTGAAGGTATATGCCACTATTTTGGACTGAGATGGTTGCTTCTGAAGGCCCCAAGAATAGGGTCAATTTGATGCTGTTGGAGGGTACTGACATTCAAGGAGGATTATCTCACCCCAAATTCCTTCGGAAGGACCCTGAAAGCACCCTAGAGATGGTGACACAGAAACAGCACTAAGAGACCAGGAAGACATCAGGTTCTGAGTTTCTGTGGGTCTTCCCTTTCCAACTCTGTGCCTCGGGTCCCCCAGAATCCCTGACAAAGTTAGTAATTTCTCAAGAACCCAAATTCACATGGTACTTTAGTTCCTCAATCTTCAGAACCAGAGGCAAAGGATGCTGGGGTCCTCGCCTGAAGGGGAAGTGGCCCAATCCTCCCTGGAGCCTCCCACTCCCAAAATAGAGCTTAGTTTGTCTTTGGCTGAAAGCTAAATATTTGTGAGCCGGGCAAGCAGCCTCAGACCCTGTCCCTCCTCCTTGGTTCCCTCTCAGGCCTGGGCTCAGTTCCCCTGGCCAGCCCCCCCCACATGCACGCAGGGCTGTCCTCTTCTCTCTCACATCCTACCTCCTCTCCCACACACCAGCTCCCAGGCCAGGCTCTCCCCTCAACACAGACCTGACCAGATCTTGCTTAACGTAGGAGCCCTGGACACGGGACTCCCCCCAATCCAAAGAACTGTAGCTGAAAGCTCCTCCACGCCCACTCGGATACCATCTGCTGCCAGCCTACCTGTGTCCGGCTGTCCATTTCTTCTCCCTGTTTTCTCACTCCTCCAGTTAGTGCTTAGCTGACCTTAGGGGTCCTCCATTTCTTTTTCCTCAAGTCTCTCTCCCCCTTCTTTGATCGCCCTCTAACCCCTGGCCCTGTTTTCTCCTCCCCTTGCTTCTGCTCTCTGCTTGCCTCTCCTAGGACCCTCTCTCTCTTCATCAGGAGGACCCTGGAAGCAACTAGCTTTGCAGCTACTGCCTATGTAAACTGAGGGGGTGGGGTAGGCATGGATGAGGATCGGGAAGATTGTAGCTGGTTTCCTAGGAAGAGGAGGAAACAGTTACCTCAAGCAGAGAGGATGCCATCCTCAGGCTGGGGATCGGGTCCCAAGGAGCCAGGCAGATGGAGAGAACCGAGGAGCCAGAGGGAGAGGGGAAAGGGAGAGGGAGGGAGAATAGGAGAATGGGAGAGAAGAGATCTAAAGTTAGAAGGGACTGGGGGGTGGGGGTGGGGGGCTGCTCTCTGTCTGTAGGGATCCACCCTCTAATTACAGCTTTCCCAGCGGAGAAGACTCCGGATCCAATGAGGAGGGCGAGAGAGGGAGGCAGAGGGTCCAAATTTCCTGCTCCATTTGCTGAGCTCCCCAAAGAAGGGATCTGGGAGGGAGAGGAGGAAAGGGGGTGCCCAGGGAGCGGGTGGGAAGCAGGAATATGGGCAAGTTGTCAGAGCTTCTTTGGGGTGCTACGGGGAAAAGTGAAAAGGGTTGGTAGACCTAGGTGTCCTACATACCCCAGAAATCCAATGGGCATCTGTGGGCAGTCCCCCAGAGCTGCTCAGCATCTGTACCTGGGGAGTCTGAGGTTGGCTGTCCCGTCTCCTCTCAAGAGGTCTGGCACGAAGACCGCTGGCAATGGGTGGCCGGAGAGCGCTGGGAGGGTTCCGCTCTCTCTCAGCTCACTCTTGTTCCCACTCAGATCCAATCCTATAATCCTACTCTGACTCGGAGTCCTTGCAGCTACTCAGTGTCGCGGCAGCTTCTGTTGCTGCTGCTGCTTGCTGCTACCGAAGCTGCCGCCGCCGCCGCTCTGCTGAGGGAAGGAACAGGAGGGAAAAGGAACAAACCCCAAACCACTAATTAGAGATCTGGGGGGGGATGGGGGGTTGGGGACGACACTCACACAGAGAGACTGGAACACACTGACATACACACACTCATGGACAAACACAGGGATGATGCATGTATACGTATACACTGCTACCCACATGGGGACTGTCACTGTGGTGAATGAACACAAACTCACATACAATGAATATGATGACACAATGGGGTACCTACATTACCACCCACCACCCCCCAGGCTAGCAATGGAGATGCTTTCTTGTTCATTCAGCCACCACCTCATAAGATCAGGATGGCACTGCGTGTGTGTGTGTGTGTGTGTGTGTGTGTGTGTGTGTGTGTGTGTGTGTACGCGCGCGTGTGTGGAGTAGGAGGGATGATCTATCTGCTCAGTGTGGTTTCATCTACAGCTCAGACTTTCAGTGTCAATGACTTAGGTTCTAAAGCCAGCCTGGAACAAATGATGGGGAGTGGGAAGAACATGGCAACAGTTTGCAGAGGAAGGTGTCCCCAATTTCACTGTTGGGCAAAGAGACCTAGGCCCTCCTCAGTTTGTAGGGCAGAACTTGGAACCTTAGAAGACATAAAGCAAGCAGGAATGAGGGTCAGAGCAGAAGGTCATTGGGCCAACTCATTCACACCCACACTTAAGATTCCTGGGATTGCCGGGCATTGGTGGCACACACCTTTAATCCCAGCACTCGGGAGGCAGAGGCAGGCGGATCTCTGTGAGTTCGAGGCCAGCCTGGTCTACAAGAGCTAGTTCCAGGACAGCCTCCAAAGCCACAGAGAAACCCTGTCTCGAAAAACCAAAACCAAAAACAAAAAACAAAAAACAAAAAAAAAAAAAAAGATTCCTGGGATTAATCTCCCCCAAGAGGAATAACCTAGTGTCTCTCATTTCTTCTTATTTTCCAGTTGCCATCCCTGGTGCCCTCTTGGGTAGGGATTTAATGTTCTTCCCTCAGTCGGTGATTTCTCTCATAAATCATCTTGCTTCCCTGGATGGGACTTCCTGGTTCCCTTCCCCATGGCCATGCAACAATTGCCTCTCCAGAAAGAACTTATACTCTTTCTTAGTCAGGACTTCCAACTGTAGTACCCCTATCCCACCCAGATGAGAAAGAGAAGGAATGTCAGTTCAGATGGGAGAGGGAAATCTAAAGTATGAATTAACTGATGCCTTGGCCCCAGGATGAGTTCATAGGAGAGGACTGGACAGCCTAATGGTAAACATAGCATCTGTTGGGGCTGGGTAGATAACTGGGTGGTTAAGAGCACTGTTTTCTCTTCCAGAGGACCGGGGTTCAATTCCCAGCACCCATGTGGCAGCTAACAACTTTCTGTAACTCCAGTTCTAGGGAATCCACTGACAGGCACCCTCACACAGACATACATGCAGGCAAAACACCCAACGCACATAAAATATAAATAAATAGTTTTTTTAATAGCATCTGTCCCACAAGGGGGCCTGTCTGGGAAGAGAGACTGAAAGTCAACCCCATCCTTAGTCCTCTGTCCTCAACCAGCCTTGTCTGACCTTTCTTGCTCTCTTTACTTTCCAGTAACCCTCATTTTCTCTTGAGGGGTCAGAGAGCCCACTTTCTTGTTCTTTTTGACCTCAGAGCTCTTCAAAAGAAAACACTGCCGGGTGTTGATGGCACACGCCTTTAATCCCAGCACTCTGAAGGCAGAGGCAGATGGATCTCTGTGAGTTCCAGGCCAGCCTGGTCTACAGAGTGAGTGCCAGGATAGACTCCAAAGCTATTCAGAGAAACCCTGTCTCGAAGGAAAAAGAAAGAGAGAGAGAGAGAGAGAGAGAGAGAGAGAGAGAGAGAGAGAGAGAGAGAGAGAGAGAGAGAGGAGAGAAAGGAAGAGAGAGATAGATAGATAGATAAAAAACTGGGCTGGGGAGGTTAAGAGCACTGGCTGCTCTTCCAGAGGTCTTGAGTTCAATTCCCAGCAACCACATGGTGGCTCACAACCATCTGTAATGAGATCTGGTGCCCTCTTCTGGATTGTAGGCAGACATGCAGGCAGAACACTGTATAAACAAATGAGAGTCGCTGTGTCCTGCCTCATTCATTAATAAAAAGAAAAAAAGAAAGAACTGAGAGGCAGATGGTAAAGAAGTTTCAGGGACATGGTAGTTGAAGCTGTAAATAGAAGCAGATTTCAGGTAGGACTCAAGAGTTCAGAATCCTAGCTCCCAGACTTGATTTCTCCAGGGAGGTCTGAGGATGTAACTCATCGGTAGAGTGCATGCGAAGGGGTGAGGTATGTAGGCCTGGGTTTAACTTAATCTCCAGTTTCATTCTCTTTTCTCTCTCCTTCTCTCCTCCTTTCTCTAACACATGATGTTACAAAGGAACCCTGGGAGCCCAACACTTAAGAGAAGTATTGGGAACCAGGTGGCTGTCAGACAAAGAAGCAAAGCAAAAGAAAAACTAGAAAGAACAGAGGACACAAGAGCACAGGAAACAGTCCCAAAAGAACTGGAAGAGGTACTAGAGGGTCGAGAAAAAGAGAAGCTGGGTGGTGGCGCACGCCTTTAATCCCAGAGGCAGAGGCAAGAGGATCTCTATAAGTTTGAGGCCAGCCTGGTCTACATATTGAGTTCTAAGCAAAAAAAAAAAACCAGATACCTTGCTTTGAAAAAGGCAAAACAAAACCCAGAAAAAGCAGAATAGAAAAGGCAACACAACAAAAACCACCTTAAAGGAGAAAGAGACAGATGCAGATGGACAAAGATAGGACACAGGCTACAGAAGGGAAACAGCTAGAGGAGTAGCCAGGTCTGGAGGAGGTGAAGGGTGAAGCAACCAGCAGGTGGGGGGCGGGATGAAGTATAAATAGGGCATAATTGTGTCCGATGATTACATGGGCCACCCCACCCGTCTGCCCAGAAGGAAGTGCCCGTGGTGGGACATTCCTATGACCTCGTAGACTCCTCCATGGTGGTGGTGGGGAGTCTAAGACTGAAGTGTTGGTTGAATTTCTAGGGTTTTTCCTTAATTTATTTATTTGTATATGCATTGACATTTTTGCCTTCATGTATGCCTGTGCAAGGGTGCCAGATCACAAACAGTTGTGAGCTGCCATGTGGGCACTGGGAATTGAACCCAGGACCTCTAGAAGTAGATGGTACTCTTAACCACTGAGCTATCTCTCCAGCCCCTAAATGTCTAGGCTTTCAACTAATAAACTGGGAAGAAGAAAAGGAACCTCTCCAGCAGTTACTCTATCCTTAGAGGACCAGAGGATAGCTCAATCAGGAAGCTGAGGTAGGAGGGAATCTAAACTCTAGGAACACAGGAAGTGAGAGGGAGATGTATTCAAACCTGATTGGACAAGAAAGAGGATGAAAGGGTAAGAGATGGGTGAAAAACAGAAAGGAGAGACTCCATCCACAAGGGGGTAGATGAGGCAAGGGTCAGCCTTTCCATTCCCTGTGGGAAGGGGTAGAAGCATTCAAACCCGACGAAAGTTAGGGAAAGAAGCAGGAGGAGCAGGGTCCCAGGAAGACGTAAGAGCCAGAGCCTGACTAGAAACCCAAGTAGGCAGCCCCTGCACACCAACAAGCCTCCTGGACAAGGATCTGTGTCAGCCAGGTAAGGGCTGCTTGAAGCTCTGAGATGTCACCTTCACCCGAGGCCCTCGAGTTCTGTCTGGTTTCTGACGTCTCTCACACTCCAGTTAAAGACACTATTGCAAGCCAGCTGTGGACCTGGTATTCCTGAGTCCTGCTCTCCTCCCACCTCCCCAGTGCTCTCAGGGGCTGGGGGGCAGCAACTGGAATCCCTTCCCAAGGACCTACCTCAACCCTCACAGGCCTCCCTCGGCCCAGCCTCCCAGGGGGTGGGGCAGCCCAGGCAGAGGCGCCATGTGGCAGGGGCGGGTAGAGGCTGCGGCTCTGGCCCTTCCAGTATAAACCCCCTAGGCATCTGGTTTCTATCCACCACCCTGGGGGCCCCTCAGCCTCCGCCCATGGCCACCCAGACGCTGAGCTCTGAGATGGACGTCCCTTGAAGGGTGGATGGTGCCTTCTGACCTCCCAGTGCAGGCACTGGGCTGAACCGCAGGGACCACTCCCTTCCCTCCCTCCCTTGAGAGATTCAGGGTGGGCTTCCCTAGACTAGAGGGGTTAAATCTGGAACCTGCCTTCAGTTCTAACGATTTCACATCTTTTTGGAAAGGTGGAGGGAGAAGGAAACTTGGGGAGAATGGGAAGTTTTACCCCCTGTTCCTTGAAGGGAGTTAGTTACTTCTTCCCACAACCTCTGCCTGTGCTCACCTGTTAGGGTTTCTCTCTGAAATCTCTAATCCAGGGACTCCTAGGCTTTTTCCTCAAAACTGCTATAGATTTGACTGCTTAGAGAGACTCACCAGAAAGGAGAAAACAGAACCCTCAAAATTGAACCCCGCCAGCCTGATGAATAACACACAATCAGGTACACATACTAGCACGCTTTCTGGAGAACACAGAACCCATTCACATCATGCAATGTGCAGATACCCACAGTAACACACACTAATTCATAGGTGTGCTACAATGCCATGCTTACCCTAAGGCTCCCTGATTCCCATTAATACCAGCACAAATATGCACAGGTATGTATATATATATATATATGTACATATCTATGCATACAGATCCAGTGACCTTGGTACCTCCCTCCTGTGAACCCACATAGACTCTTATCGACATAGCATCTCCACATAAGGAAATGTCATAATCCCATCACTTGGGAGGTAGAGAGAGGAAAATTAGAAGTTTAAAGTTATCCTCAGCTACATAGTGAATCCAAGGTTAGCCTGGACTACACGAGGCACTGTCTCAGAAAAGCAAACAAAGAAATCAGAGGATAGGCATGATATGACCATGCATTGCTCACTCTGCCTTCTGCTTTACGACTTTGATCCTTTACTACCCACACCCACAGGAATCAAGATACCCAGATGGCCTTAAGCAGACTCTTTGGCCCTGGGGAACCCCAGGCATCCCCACCCCCACCCAACTGCCCCCCTGCTCTGTGGCCCTGCTGACTCATCTCTCCCTCTGTGGAGCTCCCCAACCACAGGGGCCTGGAAGAGAAGCTTGGAAAGTTGCGCTCATGTCCCGGGCCCCTAGTCTGGCCACTACCCGCCCCCAAGCACCCAGGCTCAGCCCTCCTCTCTAGTGGTGACTCCAGTGACAGACAGATAGGAAAGAAGAAGGCACCCAGAAATAAGAAAACAGGAAGACAAAAGGAGCCAGAAGCAAGAGTGTGTGAGACTATCATCTCCATTACTAGGAGGCTGAGACCACCCTTGATGACATTGTGAAAACACACCTCAAAAAGAAAAGATGGCAGGCATGCTGGTACATGCTTGTAATCCCAGCACTCAACAAGCTGAGGCAGGGGGATTGCAACAAGTTCTAGACCAGCATAGGCTCCATACTGAGTTCTGATACAATATGAGTTACCGTGGCATCTGCCTGAAAAACCAAAACAGTCAGATGGTTCAGTGGGGAAAGACAACTGCTGCCAACCCTGACACTCTTGAGTTTGAACCCCAGAACCCACACGGTGGATGGAAAGAGCTGCTGACTCCTGCAAGTTGTCCAGTGACCTCCACACATGCGCTGTGGTGCATGCCTCTTCCTCACAGAGAAGAAAAACTACTAACAAACAGAAAAGGACAAAGACAGATACATGGTATACATACAAGGTAGGGACTCAGACAAGAGTTCTGAAGGACAGCTGCTAATCTGATGGAACCCTTGAAGAGCAACGCACTGGTGACCACAGAAACTTGCTCCCTGGGTCAAGGGAAGGTATTACTCATGGGCTCAGGATTTGGACACTGACTAGTGCCCAGTCTAGCATTTTGATTTGACATTGAGGAGTCTGCTCTATGAGGCGAAGATGATGGCACAGGGGAGAGAGTGCTGGTAAACTCCACCCAAGACAACCTGGACAGGGAGTCCCTACCCCAACAAGTACTTATACACATTCCTGTCTTTTTTATTTTATGTTCATTGATGTTTTGACTGTATGTATGTCTATGTGAGTGAGGGTGTCAGAGTCCTGGAACTGCCATGTGGGTGCTGGGAATTGAACCCTGGGTCCTCTGGAAGAGCAGCCAGTGATCTTTTTTTTTTTTTTTTTTTTCTGAGACAGGGTTTCTCTCTATTGTTTTGGAGGCTGTCCTGGAACTCATTCTGTAGACCAGGCTGGTCTCGAACTCACAGAGATCCGCCTGCCTCTGCCTCCCAAGTGCTGGGATTAAAGGCATGCGCCACCAATGCCTGGCTGCAGCCAGTGCTCTTAACCGCTGAGCCATCTCTCCAGGCCCCCTTCATTGCTGTCTTTTAGGAATTGCAAGACTCTAATCTTGGCTACCCTCTTCTCTGAACCTTAGTTTCCTTGGTTGACATTTGAGCCCTGGAATGAAACGGTAGTTTCAGGGCAGACAGGTCAGAATCTGAAAGAAGTATTATGAGAAGAGAGAGAAGGAGCAGGGACAGACAGAACAATGTGGGGTTGGAGGGATGGGAAAACAAGTGTAGCCTTGGAACACAGGAACCCTCCCTGGTTGAGCATTTGTCACACACAGGCCAGCCTTGAACTAAGACCCTGTTGGTCTCTAGGAAAGAACCCTTTGTTAAAACAGTCCCTGGAGGGCTCCTTTCAGTAGCACACACATTAAAATACAACCAAAAAAAGGGAAAAGCTCCAGGCGGCAGTGGTGCATGCTTTTAATCCCAGCACTTGGGAAGCAGAGGCAGGCAGATCTCTGTGAGTTCTGGGACAGCCAGGGCAGCAGTTACACAGAGAAACGCTGTCTAGAAAAACAAAACAAACAAACAAAAGGAACAACACAGAGATCAACATGGCCCCTGTGCAAGGATGACACACAAATTCATGAAGTGCTCCATATTTTTATTTTTGGGGGGAGAAGTAGTATGCCCTGGAATCTTACATAAAATGTATTAGCATCTTTAGGGCTGGAGAGATGGCTCAGTGATTAAGAACACACACACATCGCTCTTTCAGAGGACCTGAGTTCGATTCTTTGTACCCGGTCAGGTAGCTCACAATCACTTACAACCCCAGCTCCAGATCTGATGTCTCTACCGTCCGTGGGCACCTGCTCTCGTGTTTACACACACAGACACGTGTACATCATTGAAAGTAAAGTAAATCTTTCTTTTGAGAGGGCTGATGAGATGGCTCAGTGAGCAGGGAGCTAAATTAGTTCCTGCCAAAACCAAAGACCTAAACTCAATCCCAGGACCCATATAATGGAAGAAAAAGATTCCTGTAAATTATCCTTTGACATCCACATGTGTTATGACAGTCTTGCACCCACACACATACAAATAATAAATAAAAACACATTTACCTACATTTTTGTTTTGTTTTGTTTTGTGAGATAGGGTCTCTCTACATAGCCCTGACTGTCCTGGAACTCGATTCTATAGACCAGTCTGGCCTTGAACTCACAGAGATCCATCTGTCTCTGCCTTCCGAGTGCTGGGATTAAAGAAATATGTCACCATGCTCAACTAAGAAATGACACTTTTGAATAATAAGGACCACACCTTCTATTCCTAGGAATAGGACTAAACAACCACTAAAAATGATCCTTCAAAATCCTGAATATTGGGCTGGAGAGATGGCCTAGCAGTTAGGAGCACTGACAGCTCTTCTGAAGGACCCAAGTTCAATTCCCAGCACCCAGCTGGCAGCTCACAACAGCCTGTAAATCCATTTTAGGTGGATGAGGCCATGCACATGGCACACAAACACACATTCAGGTAAAACATCCATACATATAAAAATAAGTAAATCTCAAGAAAATTACATTCTGAATACAAACCAGGAGGCCGAGGTGAAGGTAATTTAAGATCATCTTAAATTAAGGTCAGCCTGGACTACTCAGGACGTTAAGTTTCATGCTAGTCTGAGTTTCTTGACCTTGAGTTCTCAATGCTCTTGTTTCCATCTTCAAAGTGCTGTGATTCCAAAAGTGTACCATGAATCCAATCTATGCAATGTTAGGGATCATACCGGAGCTTCATACATGCCAAGCAAGCACTCCATCAACTGAGTTATATCCTCAGTTTTTACCTTTCTCTCCCTTTTTCTTATGTGTGGTATGGCAAGGGATTAAACCCAGGATCTCCTGCATACTGAGCAAGCTCTAATTGTCAGGGTCACAGATATATGAAATGTGGAATGAATCTACAGAGCATTGAGTCATTCAACAAATGTTCACATACCACATGCTTTGTGCAGAGCAGCATAAACATGGCTGGTCCAGCTCTTTGCCTTAGCAACGAACAAAAGAAAAGGAATCATTTTAATTAGAGTGAGTACTGAATGTTATAGGAGACAGGGTTGATCTAAGTCAGTGTTGGAGGAATCAAGGAAGGTTTCTAGGAAAAAAGATGACTGAATAAAGAAACCCAAAAAAGCTGGACATGGCAGCTCATATCTGTAATCCTAGCACTTAGGAGGCTGAAGTAGGAATGCCATGAGTTTAAAGCTAACCTGAGTCAGGCTGTGGTGTTGCACATCTTTAAACCCAGCACTTGGGAGGCAGTGGCAGGATGATCTCTGTGAGTTCCAGGCCAGCCTAGTGTACAAAGCTACGCAGAGAAACCCTGTCTCAAGAAAAAAAAAAAAGCTAGACTGAGCTATGTGGTAAGATTTTTACCAAGAGAGAGAGAGAGAGAGAGAGAGAGAGAGAGAGAGAGAGAGAGAGAGAGAGAGAGAGAGAGAAGGAGGTGATGGAAGAAGAAAGGAAGGAAGCTCAATAAAAATAAGGATCTGTCTGGTCTGGCTGCGAATGCTGGGACTCACAGGTAATCCCAACACTTGGGATTGGAGGCAGAGGCAAGAGAGTAGCTTTGAACTCTAGGCCAAGCAGGGCTACATCCTGAGATTCTATCCCCCAAACAAGCAAACATCAACAAAGTAGAAATACTGCAAATACGCACTGTGATGCTGATAGTAAAAATTACTGCAGCATGGAGGTTGAGCACGATCTGGTGGCACAAGCCTACATTCCCAGCCACTCCAGAGGCTGTGGCAGAAGAGTCACCTAGGTTCCCGAGTGAGCCCTAGGCAGTTCAGTGAAACTCTGCCACACACACAAAGGGTGATGGTGGGCTGTAGACCAGTGGTAGTGTTTCACAAGTGCAAACTTCCTGGGTCCCACCCCAGTACATGAGAGAGAAAGGTGTGGGGTGGAGGGGATGGTGGAAAAATGTCTCTGAACTTGACCCCAACATATAGAAATGTTTGTATACTAGAAAGATGATTCTAGTAGGGTGGTGGTTGTGCATGGCTTTAGTTCCAACACTTGAAAGGCAGAAGCAGGTGGATTTCTGTGAGTTCAAGTCCAGCCTGGTCTACGAAGAAATTTCCAGAACAGCAGGGCTACAGAGAGAAACCCTGTCTCGGAAAACCAAGATAAGAAGAGAAGAGATAGACGACTCTGGCTGCAGAGCTGATAATGAAATAGTGTCTTAGAAGCAGACATTCTGGGTCAATCAGCCATTTAGTCTGGTGCAAGCTTGGGCAAACTGTTTAGCCTATGATGCCTAGGATGTCTCTTCTGTAGAAATGGGAAATAAGACACTATATTCCCAGGGTTGTTAGGACGTTTAGAAATAGGACTCAGCGGGTAAAGGTACCTGCCATCAAGCCAGAGTTCCCCCTTTGACTCACTGTCTCCTGAAAGTCATCCTCTGACTCCACACATACACTGTAGCACAATGCACCCCCCATAAAAGTAATTTTTTTTTTGGTTTTTCAAGACAGGGTTTCTCTGTGGCTTTGGAAGCTGTCCAGGAACTCGCTCTGTAGACCAGGCTGGCCTCGAACTCACAGAGATCCGCCTGCCTCTGCCTCCCAAGTGCTGGGATTAAAGGCGTGCGCCACCAACGCCCGGCTCCTCATAAAAGAAATTTTTAAAAATCCACCCAAAACAGAAAGGTGTGAACCACCACCTTTAGCTGCCACTGGACTACACTTGTAACTATAAACAGTATCCACCACTTAGTGTTTGCTTCATAAGTGATACCTGTTAGTGTTGCCATAGGTTGGTGGCGGACAAAACTGGAGATGAGGAAACCAATTGTGTCATCAGACCAAGCCACAGGTGAGATGTGCTCTAAGGCAACAGAGTTGGTTGTGTCAAAGTGTGGGGGGAAGTAACGTGGTGGGAGGGAGAGCCAGCCTGACTGAGCAAGCGGAATGGGCAGGCATACAGATGTTAAAGTTCAGTTCTGAGAATGGCTGGACAGCCAGCGGCTCTGGTCTACAGAGGGAGGGAGGGGCTAGCGCCGAATCTGAGGGTCTTCCCTCAGCATTCTAGCAGGCATCCCCTGAACTCTGTTGGAGTCCCTCTAAAAATCTACTTCCCTACCCTTTGACACTCCTTCCTGCTTCTCCCCTTTTCTGTCCCCCTGTTCTCCTCGCTTGGAAACTTTCCCCACTGCCACTGTAAATGAGAGTCCCCAGGAGTCTGTCACCACTCCTATCTCCACAAGCCTCAGTAGGTTATCCCTCTGGATTTCAAAGCAATGTTCGACTTTTTCCTTGTGGAGGCTCGAAGGTGTTCATTCAGTGAAAATGTAAGAGTGAGTCTCAGCCTCCAGCTAAAGCTGTTGGAGAAACAGATGAAACCAAAGGGACAAAGCCGTGAGATCTGGATGGGGGCATCTCCCATCGCTTACGCTGGCGGACCTCTTGCATGCCTTGGTGTCCGGGTTCCGCGGGCTGGCGAGGGGCGGGACGGCTGGGGGCGGGGCGCAGGAGGGGCAGGCCGGGCCAGGCGCCCGGGCAGGAGGCAGCTGCATATCTGCGGTCCCGACCACAATTGCTGGGAGTCGCGTCCCGGAGACTGGCGGCGCTGACTCTGCCCGCTGCGGCCGCCGCGCCGATTAGAGCCCGAGAGGGAGCGCCAACCAGGGGAGGGGGGCGGTGGCGGGGGAGTGCCGGTGCCCCTTTCCCTCTGTCCTAGCCAGCACCCCCAAGATGCCCAGCCAGGTCTTTCTCAGCTTCCCTTATAGACTCAGGCTAGGAGTCCAGCCTTCCAGCCTTGGCTTTACCCAAACTGAATCTAAAGCTAGTGCTTTGGGACCCTGCAATAACGACCTGACGGTGGTGACATCCCGTTGACCCGAGGCTGACTGCCTGCCTGTCTCTTTTCCCCCAACACCCAAGAAAGAGGACTCAGAGACTCCACTTTCTCTTATCCTACTTTCCTCAGAAGCGCTCTCGGCAAAAGCAGATGCTAGGAGTCCGAGACACCAGAGGACAAGCATTCCGAGGCCAGAGCACCCCCTGCTGGCTGGCTGCAAGCCCCTGCCCCTCCCCCTCCAACTGTGACCTCCAGCTGTGTTGGTTGGGTGGTAGGGAGAGCTGGCCTCTTTGATCTCGGAGCGTGGCCACCCCCTCCAGGCGCCCCATTAACCTCCATTATCCCAATTAGGCATCCCTCCCAGTCCTGGACACTTCAAAGTCCCCTTCAGTGGGGAGAGAAGAGGGGCTGACTCCTTTGCCCCTCGACAAGCCAAATCATTTTCAGTCAAGACCCTGGTATCCGGGTCCCCAACTTGTGTTCATGATAATAGAGCTATAAAAAGGATCTCGAGAGAATAAATAGGGAAGGGGACTCTTTTTTTTTTTTTTCTCGTTCCCAGTTCTACATTAAATGATTGAGGTAGTGGCCTCCAGGATCCTGGCTGACCCGAGCCTCCCATCAACTTACCCAGTTTTATCCTTATCCAGAGGGGAGCCAAGAGCCACCCTCCTCCTTCCTTAATCCTATCTCAACACTCCCTCCTCTCCTCCCTCCTGGAACAATTTCCGCTGGGGGAGCCCGAGCAGGGTTCAGCACAGTGGCCGCTTCCTGGAACATTTTCCTGTATCCGAAACCGCGGCTCCCTCCCCAGGGACCCGCTGATCAAGGCCAGATGGGAGCAGGGATGGGGGTGGAGGCAAAGGAGCCAGCCACTCTCCCAACACATTTGCACACCACACGGAGACCCTGCCTTTACACACACACACTGACAGGGCACACACCACACGCCACAGTCATACACCCATGGGCATTCATGGAGACACGGGAACCACAGGACTGAGTCTTGGAGAGCCAACACACCATAGATATCACCACACATCATCTCCACCCTACCCCACACCCTTCTAACCACTCGTTGGGCCTTCCTTGCCTCAAAAGGAGACCTTAGGGATCCAAAAATACTGGGACAGTGCTGCAGGAAGTTATTAGATGACAAAGGGGACAGATTGGGACATCTATGTGCCCTACTGCACAGTATCTAGTATCTCATTCCATTTCTGAATTATTATTATGTCTGATCAGTCTCTCCTGGGTCCTGGGAAGAAGCTAACACTCTTCTCCTTGGGTGCTTCCCTCAATGCTCTTTCTAGTTGTTTCCATTCATACAGAAGTACTAAGTATTCATGAGGTTTACTTATGACAGCCAGAGTCAAAGAGAGCAAAAATGAGCAGCTGCATGGACCCTATGGTTTGGAGCAGAACACCAGACTGCCTCTCAAGGACAGATAGGAAACCCAGAAACCTCCCTGATGACAGGTCACTTCTCTCTCCCTGCTGCTCCTTTGACATTTATTCATAAGATTCCACCCCTAGCTGGTCTTACACTCTCAGAGATCAGTCTGTCTCTATGTCATGAGTGCTGATATTAAAGGCATAAGTCACCTGAGGCTGAAGAGATGGCTCAGTGGTTAAGAGCACTGGCTGTTCTTCCAGAGGACCAGGGGACAATTCCCAGTAACCCCATGACAGCACATGGCAGCTTACAACTATCAGTAACTCCAGTTCCAGGAGGTATAACACCCTCAGACAGATATACATGTAGGCAAAACACCAATGCACATAGAAATAGTATGGAAATGGTGGTACACACCTTTAATCCTAGCACTCCGGAGACAGAGGCTGGCAAATCTCTGTGAGTTCAAGACCAACCTGATCTACAGAAGGAGTTCCAGGACAGCCAGGGTTACACAGATAAACCCTGTCTCAAAATAAACTATAGAAACGGAAAAAGCATGAATCACCATGTGATATCCAGCTGTTCTGTTGTTGTTGTTTGTTTGTTTTAAGTCCGGATCTCTCTATTATTTAGCTCTGGCTGTCCTAGAACTCACTATGTAGGTCAGGCTGGCTTCAAATTCACAGAGATTCACCTGCCTCTGCCTCCCAAGTCCTGGAATTAAAGGCATGTGCTACCACATGACATCCAGCTGGTTTTTTGTTGTTTTTTTTCCTCCTTCGGAGGGGGAGCTGCTTTGTTCTGATACAGAGTCCCCTGTATATATTACTATATGGGTAAGGATGACATTGAATTTCTGATCTTCCAGCCTCCACCAGGTGCTGGATTACAGGTGTATAACACCATTCTTTTAATCTGTTAGTCTCTTAACAGCAAGGGTGCTGGACAGATATAGAAAAGCAGACTGTGAGCCAGGCGATGGTGGCGCACACCTTTAATCCCAGCACTCGGGAGGCAGAGGCAGGCGGATCTCTGTGAGTTCGAGACCAGCCTGGTCTACAAAGTGAGTTCCAGGACAGCTTCCAAGGCCACAGAGAAACCCTGTCTCGGAAAAAAAAAATAGAGGGTGAAGAACTCCAGTGTAACAGTTTCCCAAGGCTGGACTCGAACTCAGAGATCCGCCTGCCTCTGCCTTCTGAGTGCTGGGATTACAGGCATGCGCCACCACTGCCCAGCTCCAGATTTTTTCTTTTAGGCCACCAACCAGTTCCCAAATCATGACACAGACTTACTATTAGCTTTGAATGTTCAGCCTTAGCTGAGGCCGGTTTCTGGCTAGCTCTTTTAGATTAACCTGTTTCTCTTTGTCTACCTTTTGCCTCGGGGCTTTTTACTTTTTCTTTCTTCTGTCTACCTTCCTTTCACTGCTGCTTGTATCTGCTGGTTGCCGGTTGTAGGTGTCTCTCTCCTTTTCCTCTCCTCTCCTCTCCTCTCCTCTCCTCTCCTCTCCTCTCCTCTCCTCTCCCTCTCCGTCTCTGTCTCTCTGTCTCTGTCTCTGTCTCTCTCTTCTAGACTGGAGAGGGCTTATAGTTTTGGAGCCTCTCCTGGCACTCGATCTGTAGACCATAATGACCTCAAACTCACGGAGATCCACCTGCTTCTCCCTCCCAAGTTGGGGTTAAAGGTGTGCACCACCACTGCCCAACTCATCCCTTCTTTTTCTTTTTCTTTCTTTCTTTCTTCCTTTTTTTTTTTTTTTTTTTTTTTTTTTTTTGGTTTTTACGAGACAGGGTTTCTCTGTATTGTTTTGTAGGCTGTCAGTCCAGCCCTGCCTCAAACTCACAGAGATCCTCCTGCCTCTGCCTCCCAAGTGCTGGGATTAAAGGCGTGCACCACCAACGCCCGGCCTCTTTCTTTTTTTAATGTGCCATAGGCATGAAACACTTTGGCCACCAAGTCAGCATGAAACTAGGATGAACGAAGGACTGCCATCTGCCCCTGGCTGATAGAAGAACAACACCACCACCACAAGGTGTCCCTTTGCCCATTGCCAAGGGTTTCTTCCTTTTTCAAGCCTAGATTTTACCTCCTATTCATTCTTTCTGCTTGGCAGCCCCACCTATCCCTCTTCTGCCTATGTATTGACTATTCAGCTTTTTATTAGACCAATCTGGTGCCTTAGGCAAGTAAGATGAAAAAGATGCATCTTTACACAGTTAAACACACACCCTTACATCATTAAACAAATGCAATATAAACAAAAGTAACACACCTTTCCACAGTTTAAATAATATTCTGCAGCATAAACAAATATAACACATTTTTGCCTAGTTAAAATAATATTCCACAAAAAAAAATAATATTCCACAACACACAGTCTTCTGCTTCTTGGAACATCTCACTGGTTCAGAGGAAGTATGTGAAAATGTAAAGTTCCAGAAGTCTGAGCTATATGTTACTATGGAAGGAAGGAGGAATGAATATACATACAGTCACAAGAAAAACTGAGGCTAATCAGTGCCCAGAACTCATTACACTGTTTTGCTTTGATTTATGCTGGGTTCATTAATATGTTGAACAAGAAAAAAGCACATCAAAGCTGGTGTTGGAGCCGGGCGGTGGTGGCGCACGCCTTTAACCCCAGCACTCAGGAGGCTGAGGCAGGTGGATCTCTGTGAGTTCCAGGGCAGCCTGGCCTACAGAGTGAGTTCCAGGACATGCTCCAAAACAATACAGAGAAACCCTGTCTCGGAAAACAAACAAACAAACAAATGTTTAAGTCAAGTGATGGTGTCTCACACCTTTAATCCCAGCACTCAGGAGGCAGGGGCAGGCAGATGTCTGTCAGTTCAAGGCCACCCTGGTCTACAGAGCTAGTTCCAGGACAGGCTCCAAAGCTACACAGAGAAACCCTATCTCAAAAGCAAAACAAAAACAAAATAAAATAAAAAAAGAAAGTGTGGGCACGGATTTGATATTATTTTGGTTACTGAAGTGTAGACTCCTATGCAAGACCAATTCATATAATACAGTAACCCATTCATGAAATAGGGATTGTAGACTTACATTAGGAATATTCTTTGTTCCTGGGGGGGCGGGTAGTCTGTATTGTACCCATCCTCCATAGTGTAGTTCCCAGTGGTACCCACCAGTGCTAAGCTTGAAGAATAGCAAGGCAGAAATAATAAAACCACAGAAACTTTTAAAGAAATTACTTGATTTTTTTTTTTTTTTTGGTTTTTCGAGACAGGGTTTCTCTGTGGCTTTGGAGGCTGTCCTAGAACTCACTTTGTAAACCAGGCTGGCCTCGAACTCACAGAGATCCGCCTGCCTCTGCCTCACGAGTGCTGGGATTAAAGGCATGCGCCACCAACGCCCGGCGATTTTTAAAAATATTTTATTTATTATGTATACAATCTTCTGCCTGCATGCCAGCAGAGGGCATCAGAGCTCATTCAAGGTGGTCGTGAGCCACCATGTGGTTGCCAGGAATTGAACTCAGGACCTTTGGAAGAACAGTCAGTGTTCTTAACCTCTGAGCCATCTCTCCAGCCCTTGAGGTTTCTTTTTAGAAAAAAAAATTATATTTTTAAAATTTATTTAGTGTATGTGTATTTATACCAAGATGTACATGTGGAGCTCAGGGTTCAACGTCTGCTCTCTCTCCTTCCTCTTGGGATCTAACTCAGGTCATCAGACATGGTGGCACATGGATGTATACGCACAATACACAAATAAATGTTTAAAGAAACAAAAAGTTCAAGCCGGGCGTTGGTGGCGCACGCCTTTAATCCCAGCACTCGGGAGGCAGAGGCAGGCGGATCTCTGTGAGTTCGAGACCAGCCTGGACTACCAAGTGAGTTCCAGGACAGCCTCCAAAGCCACAGAGAAACCCTGTCTCGAAAAACCAAAAAAAAAAAAAAAAGAAACAAAAACTTCACTTGGTCCAGATAAGTTCAGTTCAGTGTTCAGCGTGTTGGAACATCACGAATGGGTAAGAATAACAAGGTATTTCATTAAAAAAAAAAAAAAAAAAAAAAGGCAGTGTGCAAAGAGCTTTTCCAGAACAGATCTCCCTCTCCCTTTCTCGAGCTGGATGAGAAAGTATCAGCTATGTTCCACACCAGCAGGTGGCAGCAGTGAGCTGCTGAGAAGCCCCACCTGGAGCACTTTCAAACCCTCTGAGCCTCCTCCAGCACAATGCCAGTTTTCAGCAGGGGGCATTAGCGGAGTTGTGAGTACTGAGGCACAGGCTGGGAGGTGGGGGGCGGAGGGGAGTAAGGGGTGGTCTACGGTAATGGTTCTAGCCCTTCTCACAGCCTTGACTGAGAGAGGCACTTGACAAAGACCGGAAGGTATCTTGTTCTCTAGGCCAGAATCCAAAGTTTCCAACTATCTCCTTCGCCACCTGCTTTTCTTTCTTTCAAAGACATCTCTTGAGGCTCTCACTGTGTGCCAGGGGTATCCTAGAAGTGTGGGAGGAAAGTGTATAAGCTCGTGGAAGACAGCCTGGTAAATAACTATCTTGGATGATGACTCTGGAAGGAAGTTTTAGTGAGTCAGCACACTACCTTGGGAGTCAGATAACCACGGAGTTACTTTACCCTCAGACTCTGAGGGCATTCCCTCCAAAGATGATCTTCCGGCTGCAGCTCAGTGGTAGAGCAACACCTGGTAGCATGCATAAGGCACCGGATTCACTTCCTGGTACCACCACATACATGTAATCACCTAGCTCAGTCTTAACCGAGTACGGAAGCACTGCATAGAGATTTGAGGAAGAAGTTGAATGTGCTAGAGGTGAGGCCCAGCTCTCAGCTCTCAGGCAGGGGTAGACAGATGCCTGTGAGTTTGAGTCCAGCTTTGTCTACGTATCTAGTTCCAGGACAGCTGGGACCACATAATAAAGAGATTCTGTGGAGAAAGAAGGGGGCAGAGACAAGAAGGAATAAAGCAGATAACTTCAGAGAACAAAGACAAACACTCCCTGCTCCACTATCAACAGGGACAAGAACAAGATTAATTGAGGACAGCCAGGTCTGGGTTCTTCCCACAAATCAACAGGCATTTATCAAGCATCAGCATGAGTTTCTTCCCAGAGCTGTAAGACAACAGAGCTGGTGGAATGATGACCTACATCACTGCAGGGAGCCCTGGGTTCCAACCCTAGGGTGACAAAAACCTAGTGGAATGGTGCTTGCTTGTATTCACTGCACTCAGAGTCAGGAGGATCAGGAGTTCAAAACTATCCTGGGTACAAGGACAGTTTGAGTCTACAAGAGACTCTGTTCTAAAAAAAAATCTAAGTGGAGTATGGTGGTATATGCTTTTTTCTGGTTTTTTGTTTTGTTTTGTTTTTCGAGACAGGGTTTCTCTGTGTTGTTTTGGAGGCTGTCCTGGAACTGGCTCTGTAGACCAGGCTAGCCTCGAACTCACAGAAATCTGCCTGCCTCTGCCTCCTGAGTGCTAGGATTAAAGGCGTGCGCCACCACCGCCCGGCTAGTAGTACATGTTTTTAATTCCAGTAATCAAGTGATAAAACAGGTGTGTCTGTGTAGCATGAATAATAAAAACCCAGAGACAGATATTGGGGTTAAAACTGAAGATCAGCTGGGCAGTGGTGGTGCACGCCTAGCACTCAGGAGGCAGAGGCAGTCAAATCTCAGTGAGTTCAAAGCCAGCCTGGTCTACAAAATGAGTTCCAGGACAGCCAAGACTGTTATCCAGAGAAATCCTGTTTCAAAATAAACAAACAGGCAAATAAACAAAACCCTGAAGATCAGAGAAGCAAAGCAGCCAGGCATTAGAGAGTTCTCACCTCTACCAATGCTCAGATTGAAGGGGTGATCCACCAAACCTCAGCTCCTGTATTCTCCTGCCTTATATTTCTCTATAGTGCTGGGATTAAAGGCATGGGATCCCTAGTGTTGGGATCACCTTTGTGTGAGCTCTGTTTCTCTTTTAGACTGGATCACTTTCCTCTAGCTCAGTATGGCCTTGAACTAACAGAGATCCATCTGCCTCTGTCTCCCTAGTGCTGGGATTCAAGGTATGTGCCACCACTGCCTGGCCTCCGATGGCTATGGCTAGCTTTGCACTCTGATCCTCAGGCAAGCTTTTTTTTTTTTAAGATTATATTTATTACTATGTATACAGTGTTCTGTCTGCATGCCAGTCAGAAGAGGGCACCAGATTTCATTATAGATGGTGGTGAGCCACCATGTGGTTGCTGGGAATTGAACTCAAGACCTCTGGAAAAGCAGTCAGTGCTCTTAACCTCTGAGCCATCTCTCCAGTCCCTTCAGGCAAGCTTTGTTTATTAGATCATAAACAAAATATCACCACAGATCTCTGTGAATTCAAGGCCTGCCTGGCCTACATATTAAGTTCTAGGATACTCAGAGCTACATGGTGGGAACTTGTCTGAAAAACACACATTATCGCTGGGTGGTGGTGACACATGCCTTTACTCCCAGCACTCAGGAGGCAGAGGCAGGTGGATCATTGTGAGTTGAAGACCAGCCTGGGCTACAAGAGCGAGTTCCAGGACAGCCTCCAAAATCACAGAGAAAAAACAACAACAACAAAAAACCATACATTAAGCCGGGCGTTGGTGGCGCACGCCTTTAATCCCAGCACTCGGGAGGCAGAGGCAGGCGGATCTCTGTGAGTTCAAGGCCAGCCTGGTCTACAGAGCTAGTTCCAGGACAGCCTCCAAAGCCACAGAGAAACCCTGTCTCGAAAAACAAAAAAAACAAAAAAAAAAATCATACATTATCAGTAAGACAAACAAGAAAAAATATGTCCTTGGGTGTGTCTTTTCTTTGATTCCTCTCTTTTAACTATCAAGTTTAAAGGTCACTTTAAGCTATCTTTATTAGATCTCAACTTTACTTCTTGAAAAATACACTACCATAATAAGAAAACATTAATCAAATTGGGTGTGGTGGACTACACCTAGAATCCAGGAAAGAGGGAGGTAGACAGAGGAAGCCTGGGAGTTCAAGATTATCCTAGGGTACATAGTTCAAGATTATCCTAGGGTACACAGTTCAAGGT